TTCCTCCTCCTCCTCCTCCTCCTCCTCCTCCTCCTCCTCCTCCTCCTCCTCCTCCTTCAAGCCTCGAGCCGCGCCCGGTGCCCCCGCGACAAGGGGGCGCCGTGCCGCCCATGGCGCGGCGCGCGACGCCCCGCCTCTGCCCGCCGCCGGCTGCCGGCCTGGCCGCGCTGCTGGCCGCGCTGCTGGCCGCCGCGGGCGCGCTGTGCGGACGCTCGGGCGCCGCCGCGGCGCGGGCGCGCGGCAGCGCCGCTTTCGCGGGGGCTGCGAGCCGCGGGCGGGCCGCGGTGGAGCGGGGCCGCCCGGAGGTCGCCAGGGGCGCCGAGCCGAGGCAGCGGCGGAGTTCCCATAAGAAGGGCAGGGCCAGCCACCCAGAGATCCAGTGCTTTGACAAAATCAAGGAGGAGGCTTTTCGCCGTTTTCGGCCTCTAGAGGACTTCGCCGGACCTCGGGACAGTCAAAAAGCGACTCAGGACGAAAAGCCGGTCCTGGGGAATGGGTCGAGACTTCCAGGGACCCCGTATTGAAATAAGCACGACATCGGATCTCTTGGCACGCGCCCCGATGTCCCGACGTTTTGCAGTGTTTGTTCGCCGCGGGCCCCGCGGGTTGGCCCGCGGTTCGGGCCCTGGGGCCCGCGCAGATGGATCGGGCCCGAAGCGTGGCGCTGAAAGAGGTGGGGCCTGGGGCTCCGGTTGTGGTTCGTGTTGCGATGTCGCACGTGTGTGGCAATGTCAGATCTTAGGGCAACCTGTCCCCAACCCCCTCCCGGCCCCCTGGGTAACAGTAGCAATCGTGCGAAGGGGGGGCGGACCCTGGACCCCTCCCCACATGCTGGTGGTCGCACGCATACGGTGGGTTCGCGTCGTGTCGACCGGCGGCGACCCCGGCGCGGTCGTTCCAGTTTGAACGCCGCCTGTGGCCCAGAATCGGCCCATCCTTGAACGATCTGGCCTTTATGAATGGGCAGATCGTTCAAGTTTGAACGATCCCCGCGGTGTCAGGAACCAACGCCAGGGTCGACACGACGCGAACCTGCCGTACTGTGGTGATCGCAGCGCACCCCTGCCCCGACGTGCCCCACCTTGCACGAGCGTTGCCGCTGCACGGGGCTCCCACTCCCCCCTCCCCTCCTCTCTCTCGAGCCGAGGCATCGGCTCGGTGCGGTCGAAATAAGCACGGAGGTTGTAGGCACGAAGGCTGAGAGCAGTCTGGTGCCGCCGCGGGCGTGGTGCCTGCCGTTGTCGGATTTCTACCTCGTCTGCCGTTGGGTATCGTACCTTTTTTTCCATACGAACTTCGGGCGTCCCAATTCGGCGGAGCAAGTGCAGGGCCGGCCACACGTCGACGGCCCTACAGTCCTAGACCACCTTGCGTCTTGAAACATTCGCGACGAAGGCGTTCGCCATCCTCGACGTCAAGGAGCCCTTGCCAGGCCTCGGGGCCGTCAACAAAAACAACTCAGGATGAGAAGCAGGGGGGGATGAGAAGCGGGGGGTGCAGACCTCTGTTGGTCCACGTCATAACAAAATGTCAGACATGCGATATTGATTCTTTCAATGCGGGCCCCGAAAGTCCCGACCCCTCCCCGGGACCAGTTTTTCATCTTGAGTCGTTTTTGTGACGGCCCCACGTCCCGCTAACGACCTCCAGATGCCGAAGCTAGCGAAAAGCCTTCCGTCTTGATTTGTTCGACGACGCGAGGGAGCCCACGTCATGAGAAAATCACGACGTCGGGGTATAGGGTCCTCATGTGCCTCCCTGGAGGGGCCCGACTTGGTTTCGACCACCCCTCTGGGGAGGGGTCGTCGGCACGACGGGCTGTGCGTAACTAACGAATCAAGGAGCGCAGCTTCCCCCCGCGTCCGTGGTTGTGTCGGGAGGGGGCGTGGCCCGAGGAGGGCTGGGTCGGCCCTTTGAGAGGGCAGGGTGCACCTCTGGATGGGTGGCTCGGAGGTTTCCGAGAAGGCCCTCGAGAACCCACGCCCCCAGCCCCAGCGTTGTGTTTTTCGCAGCGTGGACCCCAGAGGCCCTCCCAATCGGGCCGCCGACGCGCCCACAAGGCCTTTTGTTCACCACTCGCGCGGCGCACGCTGCGCGCACCGTTCGCGCTCTCGCCGCAGGGCGCCTAGCCCGGGCTGCCGCTGGGCCGTACAGGGGCGCGGCCACTCGCGCCCTCGCCAAAATGGCACAGAGGGCCTGCAGCACCGCATGAGGGCACCCATCAAGAGGAAGTGAGGCGCCTCCGCGGTTTGCCCGACTTCGGGTCGCGGCCACCGCTGATCAGCTCGAGCTTCCTCAGCCTAAACGCCCATAGCGCATTCAAGAGTCCCTGAGAGGGCCCCAAGAGGACCACCCAGAGGGCCTTCGGATCCAATTTGTAGATTTCTGGACGTTTCCTTTGGTATCTACGTTCTCGCTTCTTGAAGTTTCTGAGCGCCTCAGACGGCTGAAGAGGTCCTTCCGAGTCTTCTAGCCTCCTTTCTCTGGGGCCCTGCTGATCGAACCGTTGTTGGGGGGAGCCCCTGGGTCCCGGCTAGGGCACCCAGGAGGCGGACCTGGCCGAAGAGCTCCCGGGGGTCGATTCGAACAGCGTGTTCGCGCTTTCGTGGGCCGTTGGTCGTTGCGATCTCGTCCTGCAGCAGAGGCGGGCTGCAGACACACCGAGGGACAACGGAAGCAGCACGAGAGCGAGCACCGCTGCTCAGGTCGACCCCTCGGCACTCCCCGGAGGTCTGGGAGGCTGCCTCGCGAGGAGGCCCTCGAGAGGCCGGCTCCCGAGAGGGGGGGCCCGCCCCGCCTCCCCTGGGCCGGGGAGCCGCCCGCCGGACGGAGGCAGCCGGGCGGGGTGGTGCGGGTGCCGAAGCGCCTGGCCGCGGAGCGCCTGGGGCTCGCCGTCGACGAGGACATCGACTGGGAGACCGAGTACGGCATTCGGGAAGCCAGGACCGCCACCGCGGGAGGGTCGCCCCTCGCCTCGCCTCCGCCTCCTGTTTGGGCGCGGGGGCTCGGTCCTGCGCGGCACCGTGGCAGGAGGCAGACGCCCGCCAGCCAAGAGAAGCTCGTCGTCAACTTCGACATCTCCGCGCGAGAGGCGAAGAGGAGGAGGAGGAGGAGGAGGAGTAGGAGGAGGACGAGGAGGAGGGGGAGGAGGAGGAGCAGAGGAGGAGGGGGAGAAGGAGGAGAGAAGGTAGAGTAGAAGGAATGATGATGCTGATGATGCTGCTGCTGATGATGATGATGATGATGGTGGTGGTGGTGGTGGTGATGATTATGGCGAGGAGGAGGAGGAGGAGGAGCAGTGTAAACCCAAGAGTCATCAACGATGTTGGAATACACCCTCCCTCCAAACTCCCTCTTCATATGCCCCTACAACGTATCATGTCCACTGCGGGAGCTGCCCCGTTGGAAAACAACCGTTTGTAGACTCTGAAACACGCCAAAACATCGGCCTCGGGATTCCAACGCCACGGAGCGATTTGTCCGTTGCGTCTTGACGCTCATGAATCGTGGCAGAACCCCATTCCTGGGACGGTTACACCCTCTTAACCATGAGTCCTTCCAAAACACAATCTGTCTCTGCAATTTTCAAAAACGAATGTGCACGGCGCTGAGGCGAGAGCCACACATTGAAAAGGAGCTGTCCTCAATCCGTGAAGCTTTCGCAGTTTTGAAAGGAATGCACGCGGCGCCAAGGCGAGAGCCACATGTTGAAAACCACCCGCTCTTAACCCGTGAACATGTAAAACGAATGTGCGTTGCGGAGAGCCACATGTTGAAAACGATACGCCCTCCATCTGGAAAACAGTTGCCTAGTTTTTAGCTTCAGCATCATCAGTGGTGAGGAAATCTCAGGCATAACGCCCCGCCCGCCCTAAAAGTTGGCCTCGGGGTGCGACAGGGCGAAACTTTTTATAATGAAAGGGAATGAAAGAGGAGAACAAGGAGGAGGAGGAGGAGGAGGAGGAGGAGGAGGTTTTTGGATTCTGCGCAATGCCGAACACATTTCTGAGTGTAGGCCAAGCAAGTTGAAGGGCGATTGACTTTTTTCCGCGCCCCATTTTCTGGGGTGGCTGCTTCGGAGGCGTATCCTTGCGAGTGTGTTGAAGAGGGGCACGGAGGGGGGAAGACCTTGCCCACTCCACGGCCCGCGCGCAGGGCAATCGACCACCGCCAGGCCCCCTCACTTGGGGAGCAGACCCGCCCCTGCGGGCCAACGACGCCCCACGTGCGGTGCACACTGAGTTTAACTGGATTGAGAATGTCGCCGGCGTGCCCACGGGGGTGTCGCCAGGGGTGTGTCCAAGGAGGCGTGAGAGCTTCTGAGGAGGCAGGGGCCTTCCTGGAGGGGCCAGGAAACTCCTTGAGATGGCTTCTTCGAAGCTGGGAGGAATTCTGAGAAGCCCCCCGCCTTCTCAGAAGGCCGCCCCCCTCGCATTGCCCCTTTCTTCGCGAGGCCGACTGGAAAGGGGAGAAACATTCAGGGGCGGGGGGGGGAGTAGCAGATAGGCAGGGAGGACAGGGATGACGAGTCGGAACACAACCGTAATTAGTGATACCAATATGCGTCGACGGTAGGGCAACACTCGTTCCCATCCCAAGTCTCCTCTCCATCAGTCTCTGCACGAGTTCTCTCTCGGTAAGCGAAGCGCACCCGTGAGAGACGCACGCCTTGTAGGCCAGCAGGCCCTATTGGCCAGCAGTTCTGGCGGGAGCTGCTACGAGCATCTAAACACCCAGACCCCCGACGTCATGATTTTGTTCATTACGTCGACCCCAGGAGGTCTCGACCCATTCCCCTGGACCAGGTTTTCATCCTGAGTCGTTTCTGTTGACAGTCTCGAGGGCTGGTAAGGGCCCCCAGAGGCCGAAAATTGCAAAAATAAACGCACGTCGCCATTTTTTAAAGCACGGGGCCCGCGGTTCTTCGGGCCGTCGAGGCGTCGGCAGGGTGGAGCTGTAACGTCCAGGGACGCATCCAGCGGCAGGCTCCACCGGGAACGCGAGCCACCGTCCATGCGTGCAGCTGCGGCGATCCACTGGAGGTGCTGGCTGGCAGCTAGCATCTAGTTCGGACCCCCTCGGGTAATGAACACATCATGACGGGAGGTTCTTTGCTATTTTCGGTCTCCGCGTGCCCTTACCGGGCCTCGGGGCCGTCAACAAACGACTTAGGATGAAAAGCCGGTCCAGGGGAATGGGTCGAGCCCTGCAGGGTCGACGTAATGAAACAATCATGACGTTCGGGGTCTGGGAATAGAGTGTGGTAGCATGTCATCAACGGCATGCCTGGCCCTAAGATTGAACAAAGCTTCAGGCAAGAGCTGAAGTTCTGAACGAGATCCGCCCTCCAGCCGCGCACCCGACGCATCGACTTGAGCCGTTGGCAAGCTGAGCGTGAGGACGTCTTGTTAGGCGAGAGCCCCATTTTGAAACTGGAGCCGCCCTCCATCCGTGTAGTGGTTCACGGTTCTGTACGGCCGCGGTGCAGATCTGAAGAGAGGTCTCGGGCGAGGGCCCCATTTTGAAAAGGAGCCGTCCTCCATCCGTGGGCCCGGTTGCGTTATCTGAAGTGGTTGCGCGCGGCGCCAAGGCCGGAACGCCAGTTTGAAAACGGACCGCTCTTCATCCGCCGGACCGCTGTTGGACGTGCGTAGCGAGAGTCCAATTCTGAAGACGACCCGCCATCCGTGTAGTGGTAAGCTTCACAAGGCCGTAAACGGCGAGAGGCGTCAGGCGATTCGCCCAGTCACCTCAACGGCACGTCTTGTCGTGCAGCAGAGGGTGTTCGTCTTAGGAAGAGTGATGGAGGAAGAGGGGGAGTGGAGATGGAGGCTGCGGAGGAATACTGGGAGGCGAGGACGGGTACATGGGAGGAGGATGGTAGAGGAGGATTTTGGCGGAGGGGAAAGAGAAGGAGAAGTAGCCATGAAGAGCAGGGGGAACGTAGGACTAGGAGGAGGGAGTAAAACGAGGAGTGGGGGGAGGAGGAGGAAGCAGGACTTCGATGAAATAGGAGAACGCATCAGGAGGCACACACACACACATGGGAGTTGCCTCCGCGAGTTGCTGAATCCCTCTCCCTTTCCATCTCTCCAACCTCCTCCCCCCCCCCTCCTTCCTCTTCTCCTCCTCTGCTATTTTTCCTCTCCTCCTTCGCCTTCCCTTCCCCTGGAAGGTGAGGCTCGTCGGCGTGTGGAACGACGTCACTGGGGACCTGGACGAGGTGGACGAGGTGCTCGATACCAGGGACGCCCTGGACCGAGCCCAGAAGCTGGGGCTGGACCTGGTGCTAGGGGAGAGGAGGAGGACCAGTGTAAACCCAAGGCGCATCAACGATGTTGCAATACAGCCTCCCTCGAAGTTTCGTCTGCATAGGTCCCTTCAAGAGTTTCTTTGTACTGCTGGGAATGCCCCGTTGGAAGGCAACCGTCTGAGAATATTCAATCGTGCCAAGGCACCACTACTCGGACTTCAAAACCGCGAATCAACTTTACTGTTGCAACCTGACGATCCTGCATCTGCCAGAATGCTATTCCTGGGATTTCAATACCGCGAATCAGCGTGATTGTTGCGCCCTGACAATACCGAATCGTGCCGGAAAATGATGTCTGGGGCGACAACAGTGAGAATCCGCTACGATGCACCTTTGTGCGACGAATGTGCGCGGCGCTGAGACGAGAGCCACTTCTGGAAAATCAGCCGCTCGCCATCCGTACAGCTCTTGCAAACTTTTAAGACTAATATGCGGCGCTCTCAGGCGAGACCCACATGTTGAAAACGACCCGCTGTTCATCAGTGACACTCCTGCGAACGTTTAAGACGAACGCGCGCGGCATGTACAACACCACCCAAATTATTTAGATGAATGTGCGCGGCGCCAAGGCGAGAGCCACATTTTGAAAGCCAGCAGCCCTCTATCCGGGGAGCCCTTGCAGAAGGCTTAAGACGAGCGTGCGCGTCGCCAAAGCGGCAGTCACATCTTGAGAACGATCCGCCCTCCATCCGTGCAGTTCCTTCAAGCTTTAAAGATGTGCGGCGCCCTGAGGCGAGACCCAAATGTTGAAAGCCGGCTCTTCATTTGTTGCACCCACGCGAAGTTTTCAGACGAACGAGCACGGCGTCAGGGCGAGAGCTACATCTTGAAAACATGCCGCCCTCCATCCGGGAAGCTCCTCTGCATTGTCTTCCGTGGATGTGCGCGGTGCCAGGGCGAGACCCCTATTTTGAAAACCAGCCGCCTTCCATCCGTGAAGCTCTGGCAACCTTTTAGGACGAATGCTCGCGGCGCCAAGGCGAGGCACATTTTGAAAACAGTCCGCCCTCCATCCGTGAGGCAAATCTGCGGCTTCTGAATCACCAGTGGTAAGGCAGTCTCAGGCAAAACACCCAGCCCGCACTACCCACGCGTTTCGGATTGCGACAGGGAGGGTGTATTGGGAAGGCCTTGCGGCCGGCGCCGCCGACCCTGAAGGGGGACAACGACGGCGACGACGGCTGCGGCGGCGACGACAACGTCGCTGACGCTCTGGAGCCCTTCTTGGGGCACCCTCGGGAGCCTATTGGGCTCTGTTGGGGGTGTCTCTGGGGGGACTTCTCGGGACACTCCCTGGCCACTTGGAGCCGCCTCGGAGCAGATCTGAGGCCTCTTGGAGGTATGCGGGAAAACACGCAGCACCCCGCAACAGCAGGTAAGAGTGAGGAGGGTGTCTCTGGGGTAAGGGTCCGGGAGGAGGGGGGGATGGTGGCACCCACGTCCCAGCTGGGAGCAGGAGGAGGAGGAGGAGAAGGAGGCGGAGGAGAAGGAGGAGGACACCCACGTCCGCAAGGGGGATGCGCGGGCAGGGGTCTTGAATCCCCCTTGCCCACAAGGGGACCACCACTTTGTCCCCCTTGTCCACAGGGCGGGCCACTCCCTGGGGAGGGTCACGACCCCCAGCCCCGCCCCGGAACCCCCGATCTACCCGCCCCAGGACCTTCCCCAAGCTATCCCCCCGCTTCCCCGCCAGGGAGGGGATCAAATGGAAGGGGCGTCCCTTCGAATCAATCACGACGTTTGATTTTCCGTCTGGCTTGATCGCTTAAGGAGGAGTGCCCATGGAAAGAAGGGGAGCGGCAACGACGACGATGACTCAAACGGGTCGGTGGATTCAAAAGGAAAAGAGAGGGAAGAGGAGGAGGAGGAGGAGGAGGAGGAGGAGGAGGAGGAGGAGGAGGAGGAGGAGGAGGAGGAGGAGGAGGAGGAGAAGAAGGAGGAGGGAGGAGGAGGAGGAGGAGGGAGCGGAGGAGGAGGATGAGGAGGAGAAGGAGAAAACGGAGGAGAAAAAGGAGGAGGAGGAGGAGGGGGAGGGCCGGGGGGTCGATGGGGGGGGGCAGACCTCCCCGCGTCGTGAACAAAAGCACGAAGGAAGGTGATTAATTTGTTTCTGCTTCTCGGGGCCCATACCGGGCATCGGGGCCGTCAATCAACGGCTTTGAACGAGAAGTTGGTCCCGGGAGGGAGTCAGACTCCTGGGGGCCCACGTCATGAACAAACATTCGACGACGTCGGGAGTCTGGGGGAAGGGGGGCCAGGAGGACCCGGAGGGGCATCGGTGGGGGGCGCCACCTCTGGCATCGCGACGGCAGCCGTTGCCCGTTGTTCTGCTCTCCTGCCCCATCCCCTCTCCGTGGCCCCACGCAAACTGCGAGCGCATGCATGTCCACGCCCTCGCGGTTTGGATTCCAGGGTGCGATCCCACGGTCACGCGGTCGAGCGGATGCGTTCCGCGCGGGGCATCCGCGAGAAAACGCCCCGCATCTGCGGGGTCGCGGCCCAGGGGCCCGAACCGCGAGGTCGCGGACGCAGCTATGCTTTTCGCCTACGGGCCCTCCCCCCCTTCTCCTCTCCGCACGCGCGCGCGCTGGCGTGGGCGCCGCGACCTCGCTGCCCCGAGGGAAGTGCGCAGGAGGGGGGCGGGGGAGGGTCTCGAGCGGGAAGTGTGGTTCAAGGGCGGATGGCGCAATTCAAAAATAGCCAAAGAATAGTCAGCGGACGTTTTTTTGTTTAATATATATATATATATATATATATATATATATATCTCATTTTTGCAGGTTTGTTGACTTTTTTATGTTGCGTTCAAGGTCCCCTTGTAGGAGGACGCGCCCGACCTAAGTATAGTTGAAGCCGATGGTAACGATGCGCGGTTTTCCAAGGGTGTCCTTGCATCCTTGCCACTTCGGTCATCTTCGGTCCACCCTCCACCACTTTTGATGGCCAGTCCCGCTCGAAAAGCTTCGACACGGGCGTCCACGGGGCTTGCATCCTTGTCCCTCATCTTTGTCATCAGTTTTGAATGTGCCGATGCCGCCACCCCTGCGCCATCGCCACGGCCAGATTCGCTCCGAAGTGCAGGACGCACCCCGGGAGAGGTCTGTGGAGTGGCGGTGCTGGTACCTTTTGCCCTGCCAAGGGGTTGCGCTCTGCGCTTCCTGGGGCGCCCTCGTGGCCTCGACCAGGTCCGCCTTGCGACTCTGGCCAGAGCGCACCCCGGGGCAGGTCCAGCGGTCGCCTTGTTGCTCCTGCGTCGGACGTCCAACGAGAGCAGACATTTCTCGATACGCACGTGTCTCTTCGAGATTGGGGCGTCTGGACGCCAGCTTCGGGCCTCAGGTCAGGCAACATACGCGACTCTGTCCAGGGCGCCCTCCGACACACCTCCAGTCGCCAAATTGTGGGGTAGGGGCCCAGGCCTCCCGTCTCTTGAGACACCAGTCGGAGCGAGGGCGCGGGGGAGGCAGGGGCGGAGGTGTACAGGGTGTTGTGGCCCCCCGGTGGCGCGTTCTGCTGAGAAGATCAGCCTCTTCGTTGCCGAGGCCCATGCTGCAGGGGGTTCGGCATCCTCAGCTCGCCCTCCTGCGGCACAGCTCTTTTGTTGATGCAGGTCGGGCTTCTGGCTGCAGGCCGCAGGGCCGCAGGGCCGTCGGAAAACTGGCCGTCACGAGCCACCGGTCGCGGGATCCAGGCTCCTGGGACTGATGGCCACAGCGGGGGTGAGTGATGGGTGGTCTCGCATGCTATGAAAGTGAGTGAGGACGTTTTTTTTGTTGTTTCATCAGTTTTCCATGTGAGGTCTTATTGAAATTCGTTTAGGGTCGCCGTTGTTGCTACGTTTTCAGTTCCACGATCGGCCCGTGACCCACCTGCCCTTTTCTGTCCGCTTGAGTGGTTTCCGCATTCTCACATCTCAGGAATCCATTTGCCTGATGCCTACCTTTTGGCCTCCCGGATTAAAGCACGTCTCGGTCGAGGCGAGGGCGAAACGCAGGGAGCCGCCACCGACAGAAACGCCCCCCGGTGCTTTTCACTGTGTAACTCCGTCTGCTGGGGAAGATTTCGCCGAGGTCGTCGGAGGTTCCCTGGCGTCTCCTGCTGGCTCCGCGGGTTTCTCGGAGGTCCCTCTGCGGCTTCCAACTGGGATGAGGAGGATGAGGAGGAGGAGGAGGAGGAGGAGGAGGAGGAGGAGGTGGGGGAGGTGGAGGAGGAGGAGGAGGAAGAGGAGGAGGAGGAGGAGGAGGAGGAGGAGGAGGAGGAGGAGGAGAAGGAGGAGGAGGGGGAAAAGGTGTTGCACCACCCGGGTCCACCCGACGTGGGCGCTCCTGTGGCGCGAGCCGTGCATGCCTGCCGTGTGCCTTTCCACGGCCCTCTCGCATGGCCGGGCACGGCGGCCATCGCGTCTGTCCCGTGGCCTCCGCATGCTCCGCAGGTCAGGCCAACCGCGTACGTTCTCTGAGGCGTCCCGGTGCTCAGAATGCGGAGAGGAGCGACCTCTCGGGGGCGGCAAAGAGGGGGGTGATGACTAGGGGTGTGTGGATATCATGGCGTGGGCCATGATATTTCCTCAGATTTCATGGCACCTCGTCTTATTTCATTACGTCCCTGCCCCCCCCCTGGGCCGCGCACATGCCGCCTGCCATAATTTGCCCCCCCCTCTTGGACGCCCCCCTCTTGGCCGCTCTCGAACCTCGCGAGCCCCCCCCCTCTCAAAAGGCCCACGAAGAGAAGGACCGCCTCTGTGAGGGCGATCGGGAGCTCTTCGCTGGATCTTCGGAGGCCGGCGGAGGTTTGGACATTCGAAATGCTCAAAGGTCCCGGAGCTTCTCCGAGAGCTTCTGCGCTGGCCTGTGACGGGAGACGGAGGAAGTGGAGGAGGGGGGGAGGATGACTAGGAGGACGAGGATAAGACGTGGCGCCCTCATCCAGGCAACGCTCGGCCAACGCAGGAAAGGAACACGAGCAGGTCGATT